AGGCCCTTGTAACAGCCCAAGCCCACCGTTAGCAAATATTGTCCTCTTTGGGTTTTTTCTTTCGAGTTTTTATAACGTGTCTGCTAGGGAGAGGTTTCCACACCCTTATAAAAAATGTTTTGTTCCCCTCTCCAACTAATGTGGGATCTCACAATCCACCCCCTTTGAGGCCCAGTGTCCTCGCTGGCACTCGTTCCTCTCTCCATTAAATGTGCGATCTCACAATTCACCCCCTTCGAGGCTCACACAAACGTTCATCTCTCAAATTGATGTGGGATCTCACAATCCACCCCCTTCAGGGTCTAGCGTCCTCGTTGACACACAGCCCGATGTCCACCCCCCTTCGCGGCTCAGCGTCCTTGCTAGCATACCGCCCAGTGTTTGGCTTTAATACCATTTATAACAACTCAAGCCCACCACTAACAAATTTATAACGAGTCTCCTATGGAGAGGTTTCCACACTCTTATAAAGAATGTTTCGTTCCCCTTTCCAACCAATATGGGATCTCACAATGGTCCACTGTTTTCTTACTTTGATTGGCATTATAAAGAGAGTTGAAATTATTTTTAGGAAGCTTATTTTTCCACAAAAAAAAAAAATCCTAATTAGGGTTTTTGATGATCCAGGAATGCAAAAAGCTTTTCATTGTTCACTTGTAAAAAAAAATCCTAATTAGGGTTTTTGATGATCCAGGAATGCAAAAAGCTTTTCATTGTTCACTTGTCTGAGAGAGAGTACTTCGCAGTTCCTAAAAATTTGAAGCTGCTTGCAGTTCCTTTGTTTGAACTCTATGACAATGTTCAGGTAAGTTGCATTTTTCTTTGTAGATCCTCATAAGTAGGAAAAAAAAAGTTTATTGTCATGCATATTCTTAAGCGATTTTTGGCATGTCGGGCAATATCGAAAACCTGCTTAATTATAAGCAATTAGTATGTGGTGGTGGTGGTTATCTAGGGATAGATGAATTAAGATAGATTTTCTGGATGCTGGATGATACTGATAGAGTACATGTAAATCCATTTGTCTCAAAATACCATGCATTTTATTAGCTAAACACTAGTTTTCGGATATCGCACTTGATCACAGAGATACGGACCTGTTATATCGACGATCCCGCAGCAGCTTTCCAGGTTTCAGTTCAACATGATCACCACATGAGCTTGCAAGTATATCGACGATCCCGCAGCAGCTTTCCAGGTTTCAGTTCAACATGATCACCACATGAGCTTGCAAGACAAGAACTTAAAATTTGTGGCATGAACAGACTCCAAATTTGCAGCTGTGAGATATTCCTGTTAGCTTAGTTAGAACTTAAGGGGACATCATGAAACCTTTCTTGAGTTAGGATAGCATACTTATTATTTAGCTTAGTTAGAACTTAAGGGGACATCATGAAACCTTTCTTGAGTTAGGATAGCATACTTATTATAGACTTTTTGTTCTCGACGTTTTCGTCGAAGTGTTTATGAGCCAGAACCCGAAAAAATTTATATTACTTCTAACAATAGCAGAAAAATGAAAACTGACTGACGGTTTGTGTAACGATTTAACTTGATGAAAATCTTAGATGAGTGTAATGTATGTTGAATCAATTGTAACAGTGGTTAAATTGTGGAAACAAAGAATGTTGAATCAATAGTAACAGTGGTTAAATTGTGGAAACAAAGATTTTCTGGCCTTGGCTCTCTGTTTCTCAATTGAGTCAACTGTTTCTTGGGCTCTGTGGAAACAAAGATTTTCTGGCCTTGGCTCTCTGTTTCTCAATTGAGTCAACTGTTTCTTGGGCTCTGTTCACTCGTCTATGTTTTAATAAGAATGAATCTTTCGTTGTGTAAGGTTGGCCCGGAGAGAGAGTGGGTGTGACTCCCTCTCTACCCATTCAAATCATTTCTCGCCTCAACCCCCTTATAAAGAGGGCATGAAGAGGTCGCCAATAGTACCTGCTACTCCTATTTTCTCGACCAAAAATGGAAAACGTAGGGCATGAAGAGGTCGCCATTAGTACCTGTCACTCCTACTTTCTCTTGACTAGAAACGAAAAACGTAAAGAGATTTAGTAGGTGATTCAAGCCTTACATGAATTATATATTGAATGATTTTCAAATTGAAGGCATGAATGTCTATTTTTTGATCAATCTCTATGTTTTGATAAACTAATAACAAACTTATCGATTATGGATTTAAAAAGAAGTTAATTTTTTAAAACAAAAAGTGTAAGAAATTTTAATTTATGGTTTGAGCATGTGAGTTTTTTTTTTTTTTTTTCCTCGTTTGTTTATGGGAACGAGGAAACCTTTCGAAGACCACAGGAAAGCTGAAACTTCCACATCCAAATTAACCGATAACGACATTCTTAATTTGTACATATGAGTCACACATGTAAAGTTCAATGAAACAGAAACATTGCAATAACTAGCACAATGGATTGCAACAAAGTACGTAGACAAATTGATCAAATGGATTGCAACAAAGTACGTACACAAACGATCAATGGTAAAAATCTCATAGTTTAAGGGTGGTTTTTAAAAATTTTCAAAAAAAAATAATAATTTACTATTAGTCGTGTTAGTGTCATTTAAAAGCGATGTAAATGTATAAGAAAAAAAAAAATAATAATTTACTATTAGTCGTGTTAGTGTCATTTAAAAGCGATGTAAATGTATAAGAATTAAAGAATTGTAAACTATATAAATTTTCTAGTGTGAATAAAGGGAGTAGATAATGACCGAACAATAAAAAAATTTCTCTAAGACCCACGAATTTCTAGTGTGAATAAAGGGAGTAGATAATGACCGAACAATAAAAAAATTTCTCTAAGACCCACGAATTCGTCATAATTCAAAGTGACCCCACTAACTCTCAAAAACTACACAAAAACCCCAATTTCTTGTATACCGACCAAAATACTAAAAGGTTTCTCTCGACCCACCAAACTTGTTATAATTCCAAAATGGCCCACTAACTCTTACAAATTGCACAAAAACCTTCATTTGTTGTACACCGACCAAAAACTAAAAAAAATTTATCGACCCACTGAACTCGTCATAATTCCAAAATGACCCACTAACTCGAAAAAAGTGCACAAAAGCCCCGATTTCTTGTATACCGACCAAAGACTAAAAATTTCTTTCGGCCCATCGAACTCTTCATAGCTCCAAAATGACTCACTAACTCTCAAAACTTACACAAAAGCCCCAATCTCTTATATATCGACCAATTACTAAAAAGTTTCTCTTGATGCACCAAACTTGTCATAATTCAAAAATGGCCCACTAACTCTTACAAATTGCACAAAAACCCCATTTGTTGTATACCGACCAAAAAATAAAAAATTTCTCTCGACCCATTGAACTCGTCATAATTCTAAAATGACCTACTAATTCGAAAAACGTGCACAAAAGCCCCGATTTCTTGTATACCGACCAAAGATTAAAAAATTTCTTTCGACCCATCGAACTCTTCGTAGCTCCAAAATGACCCACTAACTCTCACAAATTGCACAAAAGTCCCCAATTTCTTGTGGTTTAGAAGGGAAAAAAAAGCGAGACACGACAGGCGGAATGTGGATTATGAATCCAGGTGGACCCCATTTTAGGGGTAAAGTAATCCACATTTGTGATGACCTGTTCATCTTTGACAATTATCCATAAAAGTTGATCACCAAAAGCCTCTTTAATAGCGCGTGAGGTACACGTACCAATAACTGTTCACCACCAACTCACCGTCGCGCTTGAAATCACGCGCTTTCATTCCCTCACATGGCGTTTTTTTCACATGGCTTCAGCCATAACCGAAAAGCACAGAAATGCATTTTCACCGCCAGTTTCAGTCTTTTTTTCACATGGCTTCAGCCATAACCGAAAAGCACAGAAATGCATTTTCACCGCCAGTTTCAGTCTAAAAGAAAATAGCATTTGTTTCTCTCTGAGCTTCTTGCAGATTCTCGAGTAAAATCCAAATCCATTCTTCTGAGGTATTCTTCTTCATGTTGATTTTCTGTTTGGTTACTGAGAAAATTCCTGCTACTTTTCTTTCCTGTTCTTATAATCAGCATTCTGTTTGATACCGAGCAAAGAGGTTGTTCTTGAGTAAACGTGCGTTTTAGGGGTTGAGATTCGAGATATTGATAACTCTGTTTGTTTATTAATATCATTTTCTTGTTGTCTCTACTTGGACTGAGTATTTACACAGATTTTGTTGAAGAAAGTTACGATTGATGCTTGCCTCGCTTGCCTCTCTTGTGTCTTGTTCTTTTAGGAGTGTTTTTTACTTGGAAAATGGAGCTCATTGCCGTCTTTCTCTGTATTATGAACGAAGAACATTGAAATTTAGAATTGTAGGGAGCGTGCACTCATTGCCGTCTTTCTCTGTATTATGAACGAAGAACATTGAAATTTAGAATTGTAGGGAGCGTGCATGAATGGTGTTGAATCGCAACACTTTAGAGCTTGCATGAAAGCTGAAGAAATGAGTGAGGAAAATGGCAGTAACAATTGGGGAAAAAAATGGAAAATATTATTGCTGTTGAACTACCACCAAGTTCATAAAGATTGTGTGGATAGATTGAAAAAAATGGAAAATATTATTGCTGTTGAACTACCACCAAGTTCATAAAGATTGTGTGGATAGATTGTTGTATATTCAATCCTCTGAATTCTTGATGTTCTTCCTTACTTAAGGGATTCAAAATTAGCACGAGATTTAATAACTGATTATCAAGAAATAACTTCGCAAACATTTGAATCTAAACTTAAACATATTTGATTTTGTATATGTATTAGTAATGTTTATCGGTGTAGTAAAATTGGATTGAATTTCCTATCAGCCACTCGATGGAACAAGATATTTCATTGCATTTCTTTTCAAAGCTTATGAAGATTTACTTCTTTATTTCTCATTTTTGTTAAATTGGTCTACTTTTTGTTCTTAGGACAGGGTAATAATGAACAATGCTTTCTAATGGTAGTTTCCAGTGGACTCTTGGATGTACTTGAAGTAGCATTTTGAATATTCATTGAAGATGACAACACTATCTTTAGCATCCGGAAACGTTGGAAACAGAGAATGCTGCTTGGAATTTCCTACTTTGTATTTTACGGAAGGTCCTTTGGGTAGCAAACTCCTCAGAAGATCATATACAAGAAGGTATGGATTTTGGTTGGATGATCCAAAAGTTCCTCGGATTAAAAGCAGGAACAGGTTTTGTGTGACTGCAAAGGTTAAAAAGTGGAGGAAGCACGATTATCCTTGGCCGGATGATATTGATCCAAACATTCAAAGTGGCCACTTGACTTATCTGTCTTCCTTCAAGCCTCTGGCTGAGAAACAGAAACCTGTCACACTTCCATGGCCACTTGACTTATCTGTCTTCCTTCAAGCCTCTGGCTGAGAAACAGAAACCTGTCACACTTCCATTTGAGAAGCCTTTGGTTGATTTAGAGAAAAAGATTATTGAGGCAAGTCTTCTATGAGTTTAAAAAAGAAAATCAGGAAATCTTTTGAACATTATTTTCATGAATTTTCAAATTTTGTAGTGATGTTTGAAAAAGAAAATCAGGAAATCTTTTGAACATTATTTTCATGAATTTTCAAATTTTGTAGTGATGTTTGTCTCAGTGAAGGAACCTATTTAAATCTTAGCAAAAGGCCATATAAAATCACATGGTCCTTATTACATGAGCTCTCTCTCTTTTGCTCAGGTCCGTAATTTGGCTGATGAAACCGGTTTAGATTTCAGTGATCAAATTAGCACCCTTGAGAACAAGTACCAGATGGTATGTTGAGTTTTAATGCCCTGTTATTCTGATATTATAATCTTTCTGTATTAAGTACTTCTTCTGCTCTCTGTTTCAAGTCCAGGCTCTTAAAGATTTGTACGCACATTTAACACCAATTCAGCGATTATCAATTGCACGACATCCCAATAGACCGACAGTTCTTGATCATATATTAAACATCACAGAAAAGGTTCCTCACTATACTTTTTACATCTTATTTATATCAATTGATTGTTAACTTTTTTCCTTTTTGTTTCAATCAGTGGGTAGAACTCCATGGAGATCGTGGGGGTTATGATGATCCAGCAATTGTTACTGGCATTGGGAGCATTGAAGGTAAAAGCTACATGTGTATAGGACATCAGAAAGGTAGGAATACCAAAGAGAACATTGCTCGCAACTTCGCAATGCCAACACCTCATGGGTAAGCTTAAAGTGTCTCTAAAATTAAACCAACAATTAGGAAGATTGGATCGAGTACAAAAGGAAATATCTTGACTAGTGTCGGTCAACATTAGAGTCTAATATTCTTCTCCAACACACTAACCATTCAGAACATAGCTCAACTGACATAAAATACGTGGTTTCGACCAAGAGGTCAAAGGTTCGAATGTCTCGCCCCATATTGTTGAATTGAAAAAAAAAAAATGGCTTCATAACAAGGGTTTGATATGTTTGGAGACACCCTCAGAGCTGTTTATGTTGTTTGGAACCTAAATAATAGTGAGGGGAAAACCTTTAGTGGAAAGGCTCTCAAGTCAATTAGAGCAATTTTTGTTTTGCTTGGTAAATATATGATTTACTAACCAAAACCATTGTTCGAAAAAACAGCTACCGGAAGGCTTTACGGTTGATGAAATATGCCGATCATCATAGTTTGCCTATTCTTACTTTTGTTGACACTCCTGGGGCATTTGCTGATCTAAAATCTGAGGAACTTGGTCAAGTGGGTGACATTTTTCATCTCACATGGAAACTAGACTTTGTTGAAGTGATTTGATACATGATCTTGGCTTAATGATTTTCTGATTTTTGTAGGGTGAGGCGATAGCCCATAACCTGAGGACAATGTTTGGTCTAAAGGTGCCCATTATAACAGTGGTAACTGGTGAAGGTGGTTCAGGAGGAGCTCTTGCTATTGCTTGTTCAAATAAAATGTTCATGATGGAGAATTCTGCGTTCTATGTTGCAAGGTTCAAATTATTTTTTTTTCTTATACCAAAAAATAAAAAAATAAAAATAAAAAAAAAATAAATAAAAAAAAATCTTGCTTAGTTGCTCAGGCACTTGTTGAAGAACTGCCTTAGAAAGTTTTATGATCTAGAGTACCTTTCTGGTGTATAGTTTTGATACCCGTTTCACATGTAAATTATATATTAGGTCCATGTCTTCATTTAACACTGCATTCAAGCAAAACCTTCAGCACTTTATCAATAATGGAGTAACACTTAACAGAACCCAAAAATATTTTATTTTCCTATAATATATGTAGATCCTATAATAGATTTACTTTTTGTACCTTTCTCCCTGATCAGTCCTGAAGCCTGTGCTGCAATCTTGTGGAAATCCTCCCAAGCAGCTCCTAAGGTATTTGATTGGTTTGATTATTATACGTATTTGAGAACAAGACCGGCTTTGTCGAACTCTTAAAGTTTCTTATTGTAGGCTGCTGAGAAATTGAGAATCACAGCTCAAGAACATTATAGGCTCAAAATTGCTGATGGAGTCATCCCTGTAAGTACTTGTCTCTGTGAACCATGTGCTCTGAGTGCTTATAGAAATGGAAGCATTTTTACCCCTTAATCATCTCTCATTCAAAAGCCACGCCTTTTTGTTGCATGGCATCGCTTCATTTCCAGTTTATAATTAAACAAAAAGAAAGAAGAGAAAATGACTTTGTTGCCCCCATGCAACTTGCTCCTTGATAGAGCGTAATTGGTTTCTTGTTTTGAGGACTGTTTGGAGAGAGGAGCTCACATCGATTAATTAAGGGTTTGATCGTGAGTTTATAAGTAAGAAATACATCTCCATGGTATGAGACTTTTGGAGAAACCAAAAAGTAAAACCATGAGAGCTTATGCTCAAAGTAGATAATATCATATTATTGTGGAGGTTCGTGGTTCCTAACATTTTCAATGCCAATTATCCTGTTCCTTCTCTTTTACCCTTAGCAAAACAAGAGTAAACTAAAGTCCTTATCGAAACAAGAGTAAACTAAAGATTTATTGGTGCAGAAGTAAAACAAGAGCACTTGATAATTGTGAATAAGGAAAGAAGACGTTCAATTTTCTTATGATAAATTCAGCTGTGCCTATGGCTTCTCCTGCACATTGCTTATGTTATGTTGATAATTACTACTCACAGGAGCCTCTTGGTGGTGCACATGCTGATCCTGTATGGGCATCCCAACAAGTTAAGTTTGCAATAATCCAGGCAATGAAGGCAAGTATCTTTCACACCATGGCATTTGAAACCCAAGAAACTATAATATTCTATCTCATTATTAAAATATCTATCACTAGTCCAATAAAATCAACCTCAATAATCATATTCACCAATTGTCTATACATTGTAGGAAAATTATTTAGGAATTTTAAGAATAAATGGTTAGATATCTTAAGAATAAATTGTCTAGCCTCTACTATAAATACTCCTCCATCCTACCGATGTTTTTATCCAAAAAAAAAAATACAAAGCAAAGTGTAGTAGTATTCTACATACTGTTTTGTAATCTATTCTCGATTGGTCTTAATAAAAAATACAAATATTTCCCCCAAAGAGTTGGATTCAACTTGCCATTGTTTTGAAAAAAAGCTACTTTATTCTAACCTGTCATTTTCTTGCATTTTTGTCAATTAGAAGTTCTTCTCCCATTCTTCTGGAAAATTGAACCATTTGAGATAAGAAGATGAGCTCTTCCATATACTTCATGTGATTTCCTTCTAATAAAAGCTAAAATGGACTTTGTTTAGGAACTGTCAAACATGAGTTCAGAAGAGTTGATCCACCACAGAATGCTGAAGTACCGACGACCAACCTGCCAAAGCCTGGTGACATAGAGTCCGAACTTGAGGATCTAAAGAAGAAGATTCTAAAAGTAAAAGGCCCATCTGATCCAATCACTGCTCAAGCAATTGGGAAACTCAAACAAGATTTTGACAAAGAGATAACCAATGCATTCATCTCCATGGGCTTAGAACAAAAGCTTGAATCACTCCAGCTAGAACTCTCCAAAGCTTCAAATGGGTCATCTAAGCAACCACTGAGCAGAAGCCAGAAGGAAAAAGTAGACAAAATCATGCAAGAATTCAAGCAGAAATTATCAAAGCCAGGTTCCTATCTGGGTTTGAAACAGAAACTTGAAAAGCTAGACATGGTGTACAAGCTCATTGAGCAGAAGAAGAAAAGTGAAGAACTAAAAACAAAGATCAACAACAAAATCCCATCAGAGACAAAAGCAAAACTGAAACAATTGAAGGAAAATTGGGAGAATATCATCTCCAATGGTGCCCCAATGGACAAAGACCTCGAAGAAGAGCTCGAAAGAGTCAAGAAAGAGCTTGTCAATGTCTTAAAGACAGCAAATTTGGATGTCGTTGGAGTGGTGAAGAAGACAGCCGCCACCCCACCGGCCGAGGTGAGAGAGAAGGTGCGGCGTTTGAGAGAGGAGATCAATAGGGAGATTGAGAAGGGCATAGCAATGGCAGGGCTTGGTGGGAAGATTAAGGAGATGAAATCAAAAATGGCGGCGGATGGGTTGAATGTGAAAGAGGTTGACAAGCTGAAGGCTGAGATTAAGGAGAAGATTGTTGAAGCTTTGGAGGCATCTGGTTTGAAAGAGAAAGTTGAGAGCCTGAGAATGGAGCTGGCGTCGTCCATGGCGGCTACTGCAGAAGGTATGGTTGGTGTTGATAATGGCAGGTTTTAGATAATTGCATATAATACAATGGTTTTATATCTTGATATAGAGGCATGAATTATTGAGGCTTTATAAGCATTGATTCTATTCAATAATATAAGATTTGTAGTAGCTGATCGTGGTATTAGGTACACAAGAGTTCATGTTGTAGTTTTAAACGTTCATCGTTCGATAGTAAGTGTTAAATTGAAAATACAGTGAGATCAGAAGTTTAAATCTCGAATTTCTTAATTTTGAAGAATAGATGATTAGTCAAATTTTGAGACAAATTTTATAATATTATCATATTATGGTGTGAAAATATAAAAGAAAAAACTTTAAAATAAGTTATGAAATTTTTGCTAAGGTGTTATTTTGGTCTCTGAAATTTAAGAAACATTTAATATGTCGTTGAACTTTTAATATAATGTCTACTAAGCCTATAGATTTTCAATTTTGTGTTTAATAGGTTTTTGAATTATTCTACGTTTTTTTTATAATATAAACTTTATCATACATAAATTTAATTTTACATCTAAAAATTAATTAATTTTTTTAATGGGATATATATATAAAAAATTATTTATTATTTAATATTCTAATTTTTTATGGATTTATTGGATATAAAAATAGTTTAAAAACTAAATATTATAAATATAAAAATTGAGTAAAAAGGCATTAAAGTGGGTTCGTTGGAACATTTATGTATAATTTTGTTTTTTTTTTTTTAATGAAAATAATAATTATGAATCAACCAACAAACAAAAACATGCATTTCTTACATTGTAAATAAAAATTAAGAAATAATAATGAAAATATTGGATTTTTAAATTTTATTTTGCTAAAAAATTAATTTTATTTATTTATATGTTTCTTTTCCTTCACACACAACTGATGAGAGTTTGGAGGTTGAACCAATATTAGGATCACAATTTTCCAACTTAAATTTATTTTTAAACTTATAAAATTGTTTTTTTTTAATAATTTAGAGAAAATTAAAATTTAATCTTAAAATTTTAAAAATTAGAAATTTATTAAATTATAGGGATGAAATTTAGAATTTAAATTAATTACGTCAATATATATTTCATTTCAAACTCACGTGTAAAAGGGTTGGGTTGAGAGTCTGGACACTTTTTCCTCTGCTTTTTACCCGTTTCTTGTTTTATTTGAATTTTGGTTTGGTTTGTAACTTTAAGGCAATAACTTTAAAGAAAACGATCTAATATGGAAACTAAATATTGATATTATCAAGTGGCCTATCGAATCAGAGTCTCAGTCTCCTATCTGATTTTCTCGAGACATGCAGCGAAGACTCATTGCGCAATTTCCGCGTGCGTTTACGTTACCTTACAATATATACCCATAATAATTTATTTTCATTCTCTAAAAAATAATAATAATAAATAAAAAATATGCATTTAGAACAAAAAGAAAAAAAAAACATAATCTATATAATTTAATAAATATTATAAAATTAATTCTCAAATTTTCGTAGCTTCTAGGAAGCCCCTGAAAAATGGAGAAATTAGTAAACCCAGCACACAGAACGGGTAAGAAATGGAAAGAAAAGGAAAATTTGGGGTTATATGTAAAGTAAAAGTATAACAGGGACCATTCTGCAAAGTGGTAGACCCACTTCCTCGGATGCCCTAGGAGCTCTCCGATGGTAACTTCCATCTCATCCATCGTCTCTCTCTCTCTCTGCAAATGACCCAAAAACAACATTGACGAAAGAAAAACAGGCCGCTCTCATCTTCGTTTGAATCTGCCGCAGCTTCTACGATCAAAATCTTTACTTTAATTCTCTGTAAATTTTTCTGTTGCTGCAATTTCCTGCCATTTCTGCACCTAGATCTGTACAAATTTCTCTGTTTTTTTTTTTTT